GGACTTCTCTGAAATCATCTTTGGGTGTCATTGCCATCACCTTGGTGAGATCGATACTGGTTGGCTAGATACGATGGATATGCTGGTTGTGGAGGGTTACATGTGGGGATAAGCGGAGGCCAGCACTGAAAAGAATTCATTTTGGTATTGATACTGAGTATACATGGAGTTCTGTAACTGTTGATATTGATTATTCATGGAAGCCTGCAACTAATCCAGTTTGTACTGAAGTCCATCATATCTTTCTTGATTCCTTGATTCCAACTCATCGTATCTTTGAGCCAGTTGTAGTTGTAAAGCTTCAATTCGACCCGTAATGTCATCAGTCTGGGAACTAGTAGGCAGAGGGTCATTGGGCAGGGATGGCTGGGCCTCTGTAACCTGTGGTGGGGCATTAGCAAAGAACTGCTTGCTAGAGAATTGCCAAATAAGCTTCTTAGTCATGGCGGACTTAGGGTGAACTATCTCCTCAACTGGAGAAGTCGCAATTCCTCCTTTCCTACATTGAGCATAAATTAAGGAAGGATAATCTAGACCGGTAGTTGTCTAAATAACCATGCCCAAGTCAACTCTTAGGCCTGGATGAATAGCATAGTTTAAGAGTGCCCGTTCCTTGGTCATCTCACAAGTTTACCACATATGAAATAGTGCCAAGCCTTGCAACAAAGAACATGCCCATAGCTGGAAAGTTGGGGACGTTAGAGCCTGATCGTTTCCATGTGACCTTTGGGTGGCCTAACTCTCGAATTACATCTGTTGGATCGATTGCCCCTTCTTTGTGCAGTCTGGAAAAGTCGTCCTCATCAATATCCAACAATCCATGGAACGGATTAATTGTGGTTCGATCAACACTGATCCACCTTCATCTGACATACACCTTTAATTTCTGTTGCTCATTTACATTTGCATAAATTTCACGCATCACTGTTATTAGTCCCGACTATGATTGCCTGGTAAACAGCTCTCAATTTTGACCCTCAATCTGTTCTCGCATATAAGGTTCAAGATCATCAAAGCCCCGTTTTGGAATACAATTCTTGTTAACTACCATGTCATGGTATCTATTTTCTGCTTCCTCTCTTACAAATTTGCTGTTATCAAAGAAGTTAGATGAAGAGGCCGAAGACTTTGATTTCTTTTTTGGTGGCATTGTGTACTCCGCGAAGTAAAATGAAATAAAGTGAATCTTCCACCAACAAACTCAAAACTAGTCCACACACCACCACAATTTGACTAAAACACACATCTCTCAACAAATCAAATCACCTCCAACCACTCAATTCTCCACAAAGGTACTGTAATTTCATTAAACAAGAAGGCAAATTGATCAATTAATTCACAGGAGGAAGTGAAATTCGTTGAGGCATTTCAATAAACACCATACAAGCATTACACAATTCATATCTAACACCCCCCAAACGTAATTCCAAACAAAAAATCAAATCTCAAGTTTCCGTGCAAGCAAAATCTACCACAACCTGTTAAACATTTCATAATCCATACAAGTACTAATGATCATTTAGCATAAATTACTACCACAAACAAAAATACGTGTAAAAACATACCTTGTCAGTTGTAGCAAGCCCAATAAATTGAAGGCATGTAGGAAAGTTAAATTTATGTAAATGAAGTTGTGAAGATGATGGATGGGAGAAATTGTGGAAGTAAGAAATGGGAGAAAAAGAGAGAGTTAGGGTTGAAGAAAGGGAGTTTGAAAAATAAAGATGGAGGATGGGACACACACACACACACACACACAAAATAAAAGAAATAAAAGGGAAAATAAAATAAAGAAAATAGAAAGGGAGAATTGGCGAGGGCATGGCGCGCTACGCCTCAATTAGCGTGGCACTGCAACATCACGTCTCTACCATTGCTTTTTATTATTATTTATATACCTCCTTCTTTGTTGTTATCATCTTCATGCACTCCATAACTCGATTTCCATCTCCCGTCAACCTGTAATGTATCTTTCAATTGGGAATTTTTCTATGTAATAAAATGAAAATGTCACTACTTTAGCATTAATTATCTACAAAATAGAAAATAAAACAAAAACTAAGAATCAAATAAAGGGTAGAGCTGGGTTGCCCCCCCCCCCAATGAGCGCTTCTTTGAAGTCATTAGCTGGCGGTTATTCTGGAATGGCTAGTTCAAGGCTCTCTTTCACGGTGGAAAACTCTTCTATTTAGTGCTTGATGCATTGGCTATTAACCTTGAAATTTCCTTTTGTTGGGTCATGCAATTCAACTACGTCGTAGGGAAATAGTTGTGCTATAGTGAAAGGTCTAAACCATTTGGATTTCAATTTTCTTGAAAAGAGTTTAAGCCTGGAGTTATACAAGAGCACTTGGTCTCCCACTCTGAAAATTCATTGATGAATGTTTTTATCATGCCACTGTTTTGTCCGTTCTTTGTAGATGGATGCATTTTCGTAAGCTTCTCTCTTGAATTCTTCCAATTCATGCAATTTTAAAATCCTTGTTTCTCCAGCCTTCTCTAGATCCATGTTCAACTGATTCAATGCCCAATACGCTTTGTGCTCAAGCTCAATTGGCAGGTGGCACGCTTTCCTAAATATTAGTCGGTATGGGGACATTCCAATCAATGTCTTGTACGCTGTGCGATAGGCCTACAATGTATCGTCCAATTTCTTTGATCAATCTTTCTGAGATGCATTCACAGTGAGTTTCAGAATTCTTTCAGTTGTCTATTAGAAGTTTTGACCTGTTAACTTGTCTGGGTTGGTAAGGAATGACAATTCGATGTTGCACCCCATATTATAAAGTACCACTTGAAATAGCCGGTTGTGAAAATGAGTCCTACCATCACTTATTATGGCTATTGGGGATTCATAGCGGTTGAAGATATGTTTCTTTTTAAAGTCTATTACTACCCTTACATCATTGGTGGGCAACGTCTTGGCTTCCACCCATTTGGAGACGTAATCTACTACCACCAGGATATTTCGATTACTACAAAATGATTAGAATGGTCCCATAAAATCAACTCTCCATATATCAAATATTTCCACCTTCAGAATATTGTTTAGAGGCATCTCGTGACGGGCTGATATGTTACCAGTTCTTTGATTTATCACATGGTCTGCAGAAACTGTGACAATCCATAACCATTGTTGGCCAAAAGAAAACACACTGAAGCACCTTTGCTGCTATTTTAGTGAGGCCAAAGTGTCCTCCGTAGGCTGAAGCATGAACCCTTGAAAGGATAGGTTTCATCTCATCCTCTAGCATACATCTTTTGATAATTTGGTTCACCCCTCTTCTGTATAAATTTAGGTCATCCCAAGACTAAAGTTTAGCTTCATGTAGCTGCTGCTTCTTTTGATAGTAAGTAAGGTCTGGATCCACATAACCACTAGCTAAGTAATTGATAATGGCTGCATACCACGGTACTTTATCCACCTTTAATAACTATTTGTCTGGAAATATCTCATTGATGTTAACCTCAACTGTCTCTTTTGGCTACTCTAATCTCAATAAGTGATTTGTTACCTGGTTTTTTGTTCATTTTTTACACAAATCTTGATATCAAACTCTTGCAGTAACAAAACCCATTGAATCAGCTTGGGTTTCGCGTCTTTCTTCTTAAACAAATACTTCAAAGCTGAATGGTCATTATAGACTATCACCTTTCAACTAATCAGATAAAAATAAAATTTGTCAAACGCAAAAACCACTGCTAGCATTTCATTTTTAGTTGTGGCATAGTTGATTTGAGCATCTGTCAACGTTTTTCTAGTATAGTAGATAATATGCAATATTTTCCCCTTGCATTGACCTAGCAGTGCCCTTACTGCAAAAGGCATCACACATAAGCTCAAAAGGTAGTTCCCAATCTGGTGCCACTATGACAGGTACAGATGTCAACTTTTCCTTCAAAGTGTTAAGGTCTGTTAAACACTCATCAAAAAAATTAAATGGTATATCCTTTTCCAATAGATTGCACAGCGATTTTGTAATCTTTGAAAATTCTTGAATAAATCTTCTGTAAAATCCTATATATCCCAGAAAGCTTCTGATGCCCTTAACTAAATTAGGTGGCTGCAATTTTTCAATCATCTGTATCTTGGTTTCTTCCACCTCAATAAGCTGCCTTTTTAAGAGGCAGTCGAGAGGGGCCTTTTTTTTAAGGCCCACAAGCTGGCTTGGAGCCCGAGCCTCGAGCCGGGCGGGCTCGAACTTTTTCCCAACCGAGCTACAGGCGACTCGAGCCGACAAGCCTAATTGTCGTCCCTAAGGGCAAACCTACGTCAAGGGAGGCAGTAGAAAAGATACTAAACATCATGATTTTTTTTTTTTTTTTAATTTTTTTCGCATGTTTGATTTAGATAGCTCTAAGATCCTAAACCGTGTTCTCCACTGAGACATGATAGATAAAAATAATAATAAAAAATAAAAATATGGGCAGTGAATCCTTTAAATGAGTGAAGTTCATATTACTCTGTAAATATTGCCGTGACTTCACAAAAATAGATGAATCTAACGAATTCGAGCAATGACAATACAGGAATAGAGTGGTTTTGACCACGCAAGTGAAATTTTCATTTTGCCAATTGCCAATCGTTGAGGAAGTTCCTTTCCCCCGAATCTTCAAGCAAAATTCAATGAAGTTTTTTTTTCATTTTTCAGACTCTTTTCCAGGACGATACATTAAACTAATTTCTTTGTAGCGTTTTCGACTTTTGGCAAGATAATATCTACAATTAACAAGTGTAGACTTGCCTCTCGTAATCGTGTATGAGTTAAATTTAAGAATTCTAATCATACTTCTAAGAAGACAATTCTAGCGTATCTTCCGAGCATGTTCTCAAAAAAATAATAAAAAAATATATATACATAAACAACAACCACAATAATAATAATACAAATGGTTTTGCCACGTACAGTTATAATTTTGATTAAAAGCTAACATATTTTGTTATAAATCCTCTCTACCGGCTGATTTTTGCTATTTGGATAGTTTCATTTGCATGATTGTGGCATACAAGTAATTTGCAGATTAATGTAACTTCACCAACAATTTTTCATACATCATGTTAGATTGAACCGTATTCGTGAGGATAGAAACATACTGACATTTTACATATTCAGCCAACTAATGGATTCTCTATTTCTACTCCTTCAACAAGATAGCACTACAATGTCACAACATAAAGAAACAGAAGAGCCTTCCTTCAACAGAAATGCAGAACGTGAGACCATTTTTTTGCCTGTTAAAGTCTCTGAAAAGGCTTGGAACTCCAATTGATCCTTGTGTGCAGAATAAAGTTGCTTCCTCAAACTACTTTAGCACCAAAGAGCTGGTGACCAAAAAAGCCAAAATACATGCACGTTTTTTGGGAAATATATGTTATTGTAATTAAGATATACTTATCTCAAGAATCCAGTTTATCCGAAAAAGGCAATTCATCAATCTCGTGAAGGCACGAAGAGATATATGACATCAGATAGATGATCTTCCAGAACAAACATCCGATCGGCTATATCTGCCGCATGCTGCACTTCAACTTCTCAGATTCGAGTTCTTGCTTCAAAGATTCAACTCGTTCAAGCAAATCCATGTTTTCCTGTTGAGACAGCGTGAACGAATTAAAATGTTTTTGAATTAGTAACAAAACCAAACAAAACCAAGAAAGAAACAAATGATTAATCATCATAACATAGCTAAATGAAGTTATGCAAATGATTAATCATAACATAGCTAAATGAAGTTATGCAACATTTCACCTTTTGCAGTATTTCCAATTTCTTTTTAAGCCCAACAGAGTCCCCTGCTTTGTGTCTAAGAGATTCCTTAATCTATATAGACAAACAAAATATAATAAGTTCTGTCAGTGAGAGCAACAACTTTATGCCATGCATGCAAAAAGCACAAGATGCAAATTTTACAGTTCTCATAACGTGAAAATTTTAGAAACTGTACATCCAATGATATCATGAAATGAATATGAACTCTCTCACCATTTGTCAAGAAAATCATACATGTACGGAGATTATAAGACACGTCAAAATTACAAGAATTCATACCAATAAGTAGCCACCGGCCAATTCAGGAAAAATTAGAGGAATGAAGATTTAGACAGTTGAAATATGTTTTGCGTAGACTGAAGAGACTCTCGTCCATAAAAGTGACTCAATCTCCATGAAACATGGGAGAAGAGGGAGGGGTAGACCAAACATAACATGGCATATGGTGGGCGCTGAATATCTAATTGCTTTGGATCTTCCAATATATATAGCAATGCAGACTAGCAGGAATCAACAAATTAATATAGCAACCCAGGTATATTAAAAAATGCCTAGTTTGTTGGTATTGTTATGGAGTTTGGGTATAGGGTTGGGGTTAAGGTTAGATATAGTTCATTTCTAAGGTTCGATCAAAATATATCTTAGCTTCATATATAATGTCCATCTACCACTTCTCGTCTCCAACTGTAACTGCATATATTGATTCGTTAATGTTCTTTAAATTCAAACACACAGCAGACATTCTAATTTATATGGAACTGATTAAGAAAATGAAGCATATAAAGAAGTGGACACAGAAAAAATGGCATATTTTGAGAGATGACAAGCCTCAAAATGACAAACAAAGATGATGTAAACCCAAAATACATTTAAGAAATCAAGATAGAGCATAATCACAGTTTGAACTGGCATAGATGAATGACCTGATCATACTTTTGTCTTGTTATGGTAACCTATATCAACCCACAAAATCAATCTCATTGCAAACATTATACGTGTATGAAGCTTAGCATGAAAGGAGGTCACACTTACAGTATATTACCGTCACATATGTAGCACTAGCTGTAGTTTTACTTGTAACCTTTAAATACAAAAGCCAAGAAAGAAGGTGATACATAATATAAGGAATATCGCTATTGTACTACTAGGTTTTTAATTGCAGTTTCATATCAAGTGAGCCATGGTGTGTCATAGATGACAAAACATGATGGATATCAACGCATTGGATCAAAATGCGATTGACCCATAGACAAAATTATTTATAGTTGGTGACAACATAGACCTGTCCGGGACGATTCCATATATACATGGATTCTATAGAAAGTGATTGCCAGCCAACAAAATATCTTAATCTAAGCATGACAAGGGCATATGACATTTCAGTGTAGCATTTATCTTTTATCTACCAATTCAATAGACACATATATTTTTCTGTTTGTACTTCCATGGCTCTAGTTCAACTTTTATGCCCCCTTCCTAATCTTTTATTTTCATTTAGATAAATAAAAACTCAATCCTTTTGATGGTTTGATCAAATACTAAATAGAAAGAAAAAATTTACTTTTCAATATATTCAATATAGTCTCTAAAAAATGCACTTATATCCAAAGCTCCTTAAAGCACTTGCTGATTTTCTCTACATCAGCTCTAAGAAATTAAAATTCATTAATAAGTCATGTGTCTCTCACATGACACACTGCTTAACATCATCTCAGTATGGATTGACTTTTGGGTAGTGGGTCAAGTCGAGAAAAGAGAGATTGCATTAAAGGTTTCAATATGATTAACTATCTAAACTTGACAAGGTGTAGGCCCAGTACAGCCATACAAACTTCAAACTATATATTTACATTTGGAAATTGTTTGCTCAATAGGTCCCTAACCTATACAATAAAAAATAGCTTTGCTATTACAAGTAACAACAACGACCTAGAAACTATATATCCAATGAAATGAATATGAACTACCTTGCATTTTTTCCTAGAAGATCTTGTATATGCTGAGAATGTCAAAGCCACGATAAAAGTGTAAGCAGATCAAATTAATATTATACCAGTATGTTCACTCCACGTTTTCAGCCAAGGGGTTTTGGTATGGGGGCTTGTCAAGGTGAGTTATAGTTCATTTCTTATTTTCTTAGGTTTTGATTAAATATTTCTTCGCTCCAAAGATGCTGCCCATCTATCCTTCATCTACATCTTTAACTTCATAAAGTTATATTGATTCATGTACTGAATAGACTTTCCTGTTTAAATGGTATTGAGAGATGAGTTTAATACTCCGCTAAGAAAATGAAGCATATGTAGCAATGTGACAAAGACAGAATGACATCTTTTGAGAGATGTCCAAAAAAGATGACAACATCCCAACTAAAATTTAGGAAATCAAAATTCAGCATGATCCCCTTCTGAACTGATACAAACGAATAGTCTAGATCAATTTTATTTTTTTATCTTTTCCTTCTTTGGGATTCTTTATAACAAATCAAATCAATCACATCGTCATACATGTCTAAAGCTTGGTATGAAAGTAAGTTACAGTTACAGTTAAAGGGCGCTACGATCAATATAGTTAACACTTGGTCTATATAACTTGTAAACAAATTCCTTCACATTTAAATCGAGGAAAGGTGATACATAAGATAAAGAAAATTGGAATTGTGCTTCTAGGTTAATGTTTGCAGAATCCTATCATAGTGAGCTATGGTATGCTGTATATTACACAAAAAGTGATGGATCAGACCATAATATGATTAGCCTATAGATGAGATTATTTACAGTTGAAGACAACATAAACCAGTCTAGCACCATTCAATATGAACCAGGATTCTTGTAATAAACTATATTTCTCTATAAAACACAAACTATTGACTCTATGAAATACACTTACTTCCGACAGATCCTTATAGCACGTGCTGGTCTTCTCTACCTCTGCATCAAATCTCTGTCTCCACTCCGCAGATTCATCCATAGCTTCTCTATTAGCAAGATCAAATTGTTTTCTGCGACAAGAATATCAACCCAAACAACTGATATCGTAATGTCAACTGCCATTTTACTATTATAAACTATAAACTTCATATGGAAGAAAGATTTGCCGCAAAAATATAGTTCGCAAATTGAGCAGTCGTCCCACCAGTTTCAGTTCATGGGGAATGTACTACAGTAAAACTTATTAAAATACATAATTTATTATTTTTCGGAATAGTTTTAACATATGGGTACAAGAGAATGCTCAGGCAATTTTAGAGTCTTCTTGATTACAAGATATCAATTGCAATCACCAGGCTAACTTAAATACAAACAAATAAATAATTCTACTGTAAAAGCAACAAATACATTAACGGGTCCCTAATAAAATAAATAGTTACAGGGCATTACTGTATTTAAATTTTTCTTAAACTGAAAATCTATCAATTGAACTGAGGAAAATTTTAAATTAATAACAGAAAATCAAATAAGTGATCCCAAACAAATTCCAGCTTTGGTAGATTTTCCATCCATACAGACAACAAAGCCCCAAATAAATTTAAAAAGGGAAGAAATTCACTGTACGAAAGCATATATTCGCAAAAAAATAATAATAATAATAATAAAGAAAAAACTAACCTTAATAATTCGGTTTCACTGGAAGAAATACGATAATCAATAGTCCAGAGCCTCAAGTAGACGGCAATACCCATCAGCATTACCAGCCCCAAAGCTATCAAAATTTGCCGCCTCCTTCCTCGACCCATTTTCTCCCTCTATCTTCTTTCTTCTCTGTCTAGACAATCCTCTTCTTAAAGACGCGATTTTTCTTTTTCTTCTCGCCATGATTACGTGGAGCTGGTAGAAGAGAGGACATCATTCGTCCTATATCACAATTTAGCCCCTCAAGCTTTTATTATTATATTAGGTGAGCCCTCTAAGTTTTCACTTTTTGGATGACTTTCTAGGTTGAGCAACGAATATAAAAGCTACTTATTAATTATTAATTTCTTAAGACATCATAAATAATTAGTGTATCCTTTAGTGTTCCTTTTTTGAAGAAACTTTTTTTCTTTTATTTTGAAATCGACAAATAAGAACTGTTTATTATTTAGGACATCGTATAGTAATTCGTATATCAAAATAATTAGAAAATAAAAATTATTTTCTTTTTTAATTTTTTATTTAAAATTTATTTGTACTTTTTTAAGAATTTTGGGAGTATAGTTGCAATTTGTTTTTACTTTTATTTTTTTTATTTATTTAAAAAGAAGTGTATATTTATTATTTTACAGCCATTAATTGAAAAAATGAATGAAAATAACGATTTTCGCAATAAAATATGAAATAATTGTGAAAATGTCAAAAATGAAAGGAATGAACGCTTTCCACAATAATAATAAAAAGGTTGGGACGTTTTATGCTAATTCTCTTTTAATAATTTATTTGGCCTCATTTACACTTTTTAAAAAAGTTTGGAAGTATGATTACAATTTATTCTTTAACTTTTTTTTATTTTTATTTAAATAAGGGGTATATTTGTCATTTACACAAAAAAAATTGATGAAAATAATGATTTTCACAATAAAATATGAAGGTAATGGTAAAACTATCAAAAAAATGAAAGGTATGGACTTTTTGCACAATAATATTGAAAGATAAATACATTTTGTGCTAATTATCCTTTTTTTTTTTAAAAAAAAAAAGTGCACTTACTTTTATGATTCGTTGGGCAATAATGTTGTTGTAACTCAAACATGAAGATGAGAATTATAAATTACGTATAAATTAATTAGTGTTTACATTCGTCACAATTTGAGGTCATTATTTCATTGTGAACAAAGAAAATGATAAATTGCATTAGTGTTCCTTAATTTATTGTTTGAATATCAAGTTAAAAGGAACAAGTTGTCTTTAAGTTTTTATTGTATTTGACTAAGCAATCCCCAATTACAGAACTCTTTCAGATCTTCATTAAATTGTCACGTGGTTGTCCCTTATGAAACTATGTTACATTTTTATTTCTAAACATCAATTCAACTTGAAAAATAAAACCTATCTTTATAATTAAATGCATAGGAGCAGCATAACAATTTAACACTTTTTGTGATATGAAATTGATTGTGCTACTATAATGACAAATTAAGGCCAACATGCTATTTAGAATCTTAGATAGTACGTTTAGGTCCAACTGTGTCCAAGAAGAATTCCAATAAACGAAAACCACACATAAAATCAATTTGAGACAAAGATGGGCCGTCAAGAACCGAAGATGTAGGATGTGTAGTTGGTCAAATTTAGTATGAATCATACATACGTTGGAGTCGACGACTCTCCCATTGGTTCCTCATCTGATATTCCGATAAAAGATAATCAATTTGGCCTTTGCAACAGCTTGATACACTATCCCCGTTCAACCCTTTTGTGTGAAATGTGTTTCTTGGTACATGATTGTTGATTTAACATGGCGAATTAATTATCAATTACACTAACAATTAAATTAATATATACAAGTCAAATTGGATGTCTCCAAAATCCATAGCATAGATCAAAAAGCCGAAATTTCTGCGTTACGTGAATTGCGGGATTAATAAACTTCATTAATATGATTCAATCACCATGATCATTGGACTTCATCATGGATTATAAATTTATAATACACTAAATATTTATTATTTGGAGAAGTTAGGTACAAGTTTGACAATTCTTGTGGTGAATCAAAATATATTGAACATTATTATTTGGATTTTTTTTTAAATATCAACAAAGTCATAATTTTATGGATGTGAAATTGCAAGGGTTTTAGGATTTTGAGGGAAAGTATTAAGAGGGGTAAAATTATTGAGGATAGAATAAAGGGAATTGTTTTAAAGTGGATTATAAATACAATGTTTGGTGCTATATCATCTTAGAAAATCGAACAGGACTACAAGTAAAATAACAATTTTTTAGTTATAAGATTTTTTTTAACTTAAAAAGTGACTTTTTTTTTTACTTTTAATTTATTTGTACATAAATTCCTTTTTGCAAGGTGTCCGGGCTTGCGTCCGACTAGATCCTTGTCCCTGAACCTCCGGCCCCTCAGCAGCTCAGGGAGGTAAATCGCAGGATGTGTCCTTGTTAGCTCCCAGGTTCCCACAACTCATTTGGACTCTTTCCGCAAAAAGAGCTCTCCTCACTGGGCGTTTGTTCACACCAATGGCTTCCTCTCCATTTGTACATAAATTATTTATACATAAGGAATATATATACAGTCTTATTTGATTCTCATTTTTTTTTAAATACAATTTTCTTTCACTTCTTTTTAACCAGATATTCTTCTATAAAATAATATTATACGTAAATTCAAAACTTTTCAACTTTTAAAGTGTATATTGAATTTGGATTGAGTTTAAATATGGTTTATATTGGATTGAGCCTGCGTTTTTTGTTTTCATAATGATTTGAGTCAAGTGTATTAGGCTTAAGTTCTTGGTCTAGGTTTAGTTTTGGTTGGGTTGGGTTCGGCTTAGGTTTCTATTTGAATTGAGTATGGAAAATTCCGTATCTACATTATTCCAAAAAAACGATTTCATAATTTACTATGTTACATTGTTAAAACCGAAAATACTATGAAATATGTTTACATATACCTCCTTCTAAAAAAGGCCTTACACCACATTCTGTGATGGAACCTTTTTAAATTCAGACTATTTCATTTTATTCATTAGTGTCATTCCTAAATTACAAAAGGAATTCAAAAAATTATGATGGCCAAAAACAATAATTGTCGGCCTGTTTAATAATCACCATGTAGTTCCATACTAATATCATAGGCTTCAACATCATCGTGTAAGAGGATCAATAGCAAACATTTTTTAAAACGGATTTCATATGATTAGGTTTAGGGAATTTCTTGGTGAATGATTTAAGGGAGAGACGATTTAGTAGTGAATGATTTAAGGGAGAGACGATTTAGTAGTGATTTTGGTTTGGAATACAAAAGGACACTATTTTAAGGATTTTGTAATTAATTTGACACGTTAAGGGCATGTTTGTTAGAACGTAATTTAATTGCCCATTTGTTAGAGTAAACTTAGCTAAGTAATGAATAGCATGTATGATTTGGTTAGTTTTTCAAATTTCTATTTTACTATATAAAAACAATATTTATGGTTTTAAAAAAGTTGCATAATATATTCTAAATATTTATTAAAAAATAGGCATGTGACATAGTTTTTTCAATTGAGTATGGGTTTGGGATTTAAATTGACCCTCTCTCTAATTATTCAAAATATCTAAATTGATCTCCCAATTACTGGAAACATCTAAATAGGTCCCCTTATAAAACGGAATATCTAAGTTGACCATCCAACTTTGATAACATTGAAATATTTTAAAAAAAAAAAGTGCACTTACTTTTATGATTCGTTGGGCAATAATGTTGTTGTAACTCAAACATGAAGATGAGAATTATAAATTCTTTGGTAACATTGAAATTCATCCTCCAACTAAAAATGTCATTTAACTTCATCCTCCAACGACTAAGAACTTTTTCATTGACCCTCCAACTACTAGAAATATCGAAATTAATCCTACAACAATTTATAACTACAAAATGGTCTTCTAACCGAAGCAAAAACCTTCAGTAATTGCAAAATTCTTAATTGATCATCCAACAACTGATCCTCAAAGTAATTAAAATTCTAATTTGACCCTTAATCTATAAGAATTTTTTTAAATGATCCTCCAACTATTAGGAACTACAAAATTGATTCTCCAACTAATGGAAAATCCTAATTTGACCCTGAAGAAATGAGAAAATTCTGAATTGATCCTTCAATTATAGGGAACTACAAAACTGGTCCTCCCAACTAATTGAAATTCTAATTTGACGCTTACGCAATGAGGAAAATACTAAATTGATCCTCCAACTATTTTGGAACTACAAAATTGATCCTCAAGTAATTGAAAATCTTGTTTGACCTTTCAGAAATTAGTAAATTCTTAATTGATCCTCCAACTATTTTGAATTACAAAACAAATGCCGTTGATTGACAATTCTAACTATATGAACTCAAAAATTGATCCTTCAAATATGAAAGACAAACAAATTCATCCTCAAACTATTCAGAACTTCTAAATTGATCATCCAGATAGTATCAACATCTAAAAAGATCCCCCTAGTATTCGAAAAATCTAAACTGGTCGTCTATCTATTGTTAACATTTAAAATGATCCTCACACTAATTTGATGATCTAAATTCATTCTCCAACTATTAGGAAATTGTGGTCCTAAAAGTACTCTAAACTCCTTATTTGATCCAAACTACTAAGAATATCTAAATTGATCCTCTATTTAATAGGAACATCAAAGTTCTCTCCAACCATTGCAAACATTGTAAATCATCATCAAAATATTAAGAGCTTCTTATTTGATCCTCCATAGATTCATAATATTTTGATCTCATCCTCTTACTAAATAGGATAACTAAAATGACCTCCAATAATTCATAATATTATATTTAATCTTCTAACTATGTAGAACGTTTAAAGTTATCTTCCATATTCAAAAGATCTGAGTTGGCCCTCTTACCATTTTGAACATAGGAAATCTACCTCTAAATGCTAGGAACTTGTAATTCGATCCTCCAATTATATATAACATATGATTTGATCATCCAACTATGTCAGACAACTAAATTGATTGTCACTATTTGGAACATCTATTTTGATCCTTAAATTATTTAGAATATCTAAATTGATCCTCCATCTATTTCATATATCGCAGGATGTGTCCTTGTTAGCTCCCAGGTTCCCACAACTCATTTGGACTCTTTCCGCAAAAAGAGCTCTCCTCACTGGGCGTTTGTTCACACCAATGGCTTCCTCTCCATTTGTACATAAATTATTTATACATAAGGAATATATATACAGTCTTATTTGATTCTCATTTTTTTTTAAATACAATTTTCTTTCACTTCTTTTTAACCAGATATTCTTCTATAAAATAATATTATACGTAAATTCAAAACTTTTCAACTTTTAAAGTGTATATTGAATTTGGATTGAGTTTAAATATGGTTTATATTGGATTGAGCCTGAGTTTTTGTTTTCATAATGATTTGAGTCAAGTGTATTAGGCTTAAGTTCTTGGTCTAGGTTTAGTTTTGGTTGGGTTGGGTTCGGCTTAGGTTTCTATTTGAATTGAGTATGGAAAATTCCGTATCTACATTATTCCAAAAAAACGATTTCATAATTTACTATGTTACATTGTTAAAACCGAAAATACTATGAAATATGTTTACATATACCTCCTTCTAAAAAAGGCCTTACACCACATTCTGTGATGGAACCTTTTTAAATTCAGACTATTTCATTTTATTCATTAGTGTCATTCCTAAATTACAAAAGGAATTCAAAAAATTATGATGGCCAAAAACAATAATTGTCGGCCTGTTTAATAATCACCATGTAGTTCCATACTAATATCATAGGCTTCAACATCATCGTGTAAGAGGATCAATAGCAAACATTTTTTAAAACGGATTTCATATGATTAGGTTTAGGGAATTTCTTGGTGAATGATTTAAGGGAGAGACGATTTAGTAGTGAATGATTTAAGGGAGAGACGATTTAGTAGTGATTTTGGTTTGGAATACAAAAGGACACTATTTTAAGGATTTTGTAATTAATTTGACACGTTAAGGGCATGTTTGTTAGAACGTAATTTAATTGCCCATTTGTTAGAGTAAACTTAGCTAAGTAATGAATAGCATGTATGATTTGGTTAGTTTTTCAAATTTCTATTTTACTATATAAAAACAATATTTATGGTTTAAAAAAGCTTGCATAATATATTCTAAATATTTATTAAAAAAATAGGCATGTGACATAGTTTTTTCAATTGAGTATGGGTTTGGGATTTAAATTGACCCTCTCTCTAATTATTCAAAATATCTAAATTGATCTCCCAATTACTGGAAACATCTAAATAGGTCCCCTTATAAAACGGAATATCTAAGTTGACCATCCAACTTTGGTAACATTGAAATTCATCCTCCAACTAAAAATGTCATTTAACTTCATCCTCCAACGACTAAGAACTTTTTCATTGACCCTCCAACTACTAGAAATATCGAAATTAATCCTACAACAATTTATAACTACAAAATGGTCTTCTAACTGAAGCAAAAACCTTCAGTAATTACAAAATTCTTAATTGATCATCCAACTATTTGAAACTACAAAACTGATCCTCAAAGTAATTAAAATTCCAATTTGACCCTTAATCTATAAGAAACATTTTAAATGATCCTCCAACTACTGGAAACGACAAAACTGATCTTCAAACTAATTGAAAATCTTAATTTGACCCTTCAACAATTAGAAAATTCTTAATTGATCCTCCAACTATTAGGAACTACAAAATTGACTCTCCAACTAATGGAAAATCCTAATTTGACCCTGAAGAAATGAGGAATTTCTGAATTGATCCTTCAATTATAGGGAACTACAAAACTGGTCCTCCCAAGTAATTGAAATTCTAATTTGATGCTTATGCAATGCGGAAAATACTAAATTGATCCTCCAACTATTTTGGAACTACAAAATTGATCCTCCAAGTAATTGAATATCTTGTTTGACCTTTCAGAAATTAGTAAATTCTTAATTGATCCTCCACCTATTTTGACTTACAAAACAAATTCTGTTGATTGACAATTCTAACTATATGAGCTCAAAAATTGATCCTTCAAATGTGAAAGACAAACAAATTCATCCTCAAACTATTCGAAACTTCTAAATTGATCCTCCAGATAGTATCAACATCTAAAAAGACCCCCTAGTATTCGAAAAATCTCAACTGGCCGTCTGTCTGTTGTTAACATTTAAAATGATCCTCAGACTAATTTGATGGTCTAAATTCATTCTCCAACTATTAGAAAATTGTGGTCATCAAAGTACTCTAAACTCCTTATTTGATTCAAACTATTAAGAATATCTAAATTGATCCTCTATTTAATAGGAACATCAATGTTCTCTCCAACCATTGCAAACATTGTAAATCATCCTCAAAATATTATGAACTTCTTATTTGATCCTCAATATATTAATAATATCTTGATTTCATCCTCTTACTAAATATGATAACTAAAATGATCCTCCAATAATTTCGTATCTACATTATTCCACAAAAAGATTTCATATTTACTATGTTATATTATTAAAACCAAAAATACTATGAAATATGTTTACATATACCTCATTCTAAAAAAGGCCATACACGACATTCTGTGACGGGTCCTTTTTGAATTCAGACTATTTAATTTTATTTATTAGTGCCATTCCTTAATTGAATAAGCAATTCAAAAAATGATGATGGCCCAAAAACAATAATTGTCGGTTTGTTGAATAATCACCATGTGATTCCATACTAACATCATAGGCTTCAACATCATTGTGCAAGAGGATCAAATCACAAAACATTTTTTAAAACGAATTTCGGATTGCATACACAAACACATACACCATTATGAGATAAATTGAATTTTCAGAGAATATCAAGGCACGATTATATTGAAGCAAGAATGCAAATTTCCATCCACAATTTCATGGTCTCTTCATTACGATTTTCACATTATTAAAAAAATCTTTTGAAACATATCCACTCACGATACATATCATTACGCACAGAAAATCATATATATATCATGCCTGTGCAATGCACGGACTTTTTTTTTTTTTTTATAAAGGTAACGTTAGTGTATAGAGCATTAAGGATTGATAGGAAAATTGTTCTTTGGATTAGGTTAGCAAAATTAACTGAATTTGATAATGTAATTTCCATACGATTTACCAATACAATACAATTCATTTGATGAAACACAATTCTAAAGTTTTATAGAGATTTGATCTGACGGGTCGTTTCAAAAATTGCAATTCCTTTGTCACCTTGAGACCAATTCATGCCTCAATGTACATGATTTCTTAGATCAAATCAATGCTTTCATCCTATTGTCCAGAACTACATGCAAAATAATTTAGTTATGTCAGTTTCTATTCCTAAAACTGTAATGGCAATATTGTTTTCATGATATCAAGAACTCACGTTATAAATTAATTAGATTAAAAGTCAACAAGTCTTGGAAGAAACATATAATAGCAAATGAACTATATAATTATTTGACTTGAGAGGAACATTTTCCTATTAGAAAAAATAGCAGAATGAACAGTAAGAATTTGTACATTCTAACTCTTTGATTCTTCACATATCAAGCATCTCTCTAATTTCAAATATTGCACAAAGGAAAGCTCAAAAGACAAGTAAAGAATAACAAAAGTGCTAATAACTACTCACTGGAAGAGCTTTCTCCCAATGAGAAGGTAGATCACCAGTAATGATAGACTTCAATTCTGCTGCTTCGTCCGAATACTTCTTCTCGTATTCAGTAAACTTAGCATTCCATCTAGCTTCAGGGGTATGGTAGCTCCAATGTCTAATATGAAAATTTTTACATACATATTAATGGGAAGTCTGGCTACGGAGATTACAAATTTACTAACAAATTGACCGACGTATGAAATTTTTTTCCAATACCAAGTCTAATGTTATAGACTTGCCTGTTCAATTTATTCTCCTGCAATTTTGAGCAGAACTTTTGTGCAGCTTCTCTACTTCATTTTCATTGTCCTGTGGATTCTGCTTGCTGGCACATATTTTGAAGAATCAATAAGAGTCATTAATTACTAATGAATAAACTTAACTATAACGTTAGGAAAACAGATGGTATATTTCAAGTTCAGTTGAAGTTCAAGACATGTCGCCTCCAACTAAATTGAAGTACAGAAATACCTGATTGGATGAAGTGATTTGGAAGAATAGAAGGAAAATGGTTCTAAGAAATTTAAATCTCATAATGGGTACTCTTTCTCATATGCTAGCAAACAACAAAGAGTGGAGGTTATATGAGAACTGGAATATGCATTTTTCATCTGGGTTCTTTATCCTACGAAATGCTGCCAAGAACTCAATACCAATTGATAACTAGCAGGTATACCCTAAAATTATTTCGAATAAAGGAAATTGACAAGTTTTCGAGATTTCTCTTTGAAGATAATACCTTAGACATTGAAGTAAAGTTTTTGCAGCAGAAGCCTCTTACTGTCTTACATTGCTTCCATGGCAGTCGTTTGCTCAGTATCTCTGTGCATCAAGATGTTTTGTATATTTAGGAAGGAGAGCTTTCCAATTATAAATCTCACAAGTTCATATCCAAAGAAGTTGTTACAAGAAAAGGCCCAAAACCGACTCAACAAATGACCGAAAACGCTCAAACCAAAGGCATCAAGATTTTCATCGATTCGGGCTCAGATCACGCATTGTACCCGTCTGTACAATGTGAAAACTCATAAACCACACTCACAAACCACAAACACAGAGGCAGTCGCTACAATGGACCCAAATCACTCAAACACGAACGGGAAACTCTCCACAAAATCACATCCGAACAGTCACACAGACTAGAAGCACACACAGTGGCCAGAAAACCAAAGGTTTAGTGGCTAAATCACAAGATTCACGAAGAAGGAGAAGAGGCAGAAGACACAAAGTCACGAAGAGAGAAACCCAGAATGTTCGAGAGAAAATATCACGAAGAGGCAGAGTAAAATATGACTCGAATTAGGGCCAAAAGACTCAGACCCCGTTTATATATTAATGGGTCATCACCGTAGATGTTAGGTTTAGTAGATCAAAGGGTCCAGAGCGACACATGTGGATTATTAGGTTTGGGCCGGGTTTCAGTTGCTTTCAACATTGAATTATTGGGCAATGGGTTGGGTAGTATCTATTGGACCTTTTAATATCATCATTGCCCAAATGGGGTGGACACACAAATATTTATTTGGCATCACAGCCCAATAAACAAGAATGACATCCAGATGAATATTTCTTACAATAAATAAAAATCCTCAACATTGTTTCCGCCATCTATATCATCACAATAGAATTGAACTTACTTTCTCGAGTAAAGTTGGTGACGAGATGAGGTTATTTCTCAAACACAAATTCAGCAATTGATGATTTATTGAACTGAATGTCTGTATAAATAAGAGATTATTATTCAAAGTGATGTTAAAGAAATTTTGACTGTCAAAATGAATAAAGACCAAGGTAACTAACCAAAGTAGTTAACTTTTTCAGCTTCTTTTTTAATAATGACCAAAGCCAGACGTTTGTCTTTGGGATCATTATGGAAGAGTTTTGCTACATCAGGACTTGTCATCTGATAGAAGCTAACATCATCTTCCAGCTTCGAAGCATCCAGAAGTTCATCTAATATTTTGCGCAAATGAGTAGTAAATACACTCTCTAAAATACTACAACAATTTGAACAGCAATAGAAGTCATACCACCAAGCTCTCTAAATAACCAAATACTATTTTTTCTTCTATAGCCAAGATGCGTTCAGCCTCCTTTGTCGTTGTGATGTTATACAAAGCGGGGATTGTTTTCTTGTTCACCCAATTAATTATTGCATCTCTACAATATAAATCATGAAAACGAGCAGTTTAGTCTATTGAACATCCAGTTCTAACAACATAAGAACTTGTAAATTGAATACAATTTAAATAATTCATTCTACTTTAAAACTTATTAGTCTCTAACATTCTATAGAACTGTTAGTTGCAAAAACTAAACAAATAAGATTAAAATCAAAAAGTTATCGCCATGAGGAAGGGTAATCTAGTATTTCGTATTATGATCAACATTTTTCTAACAATTAGTCCATCCTAGATTCTTACTCTCGTTCCGTCCCTAAATGCACATAATACAAATCAAAATATCCACGTAATAAAACCATGTTTATTCATTCATCTTCATGTATGAAATGGTAAATACATGAGATTCATCCTATATAGACATGAAAAACTTACTTGGTTTGTTTACTAGGATAGGGTTTATACACCCCCATCAACATAGAAGTACAGTTTCGAAAACCTAGAACATCAAACTTTTGTGCGAATTCCATCTCCTTAGTGGCATCTGCCTTCGCCAGACCCACCACCTTCTCCTTAAGCTCTGCAGCTGCCACTGAAGTCAGAGAGCAGATTAAAATTAAAAGGGTTTAGGCTTTAGTAAAATTAAAATTATTTGAAGCCTTACAGAGGTCTACTTAACTTTCATTACTTCAGTTTTGTGGCCTACGTTAGTTAATGCATGTAGACAAAGCGATAGTAACATTTGGCGTTGGGTGCTCAGGAAAACGATTAAGGTTTCGAAGCTCTACAAAGGTCTATTTATTGGGGGCATGGTACAGGTCCGTCAGAGATATTTCGATGGTAATGGTGGAGGAAGATCGATTTCAAGATGCCGAAATTTTGAAAGATCGATAGCAAACAAATGAGAGGCAGATTACGACAAATGGCTTCCTTCCTTTTAAGATGACAAGATGAAGAAACGACGCTGCAAATCGTAGCAGGATGAAGATGTAAGTGTTATGCCCTAAGTCCAATCAACCTTGGACATAAATATTTTGGATATATAATTAATGCAATTTAATGGCAGATCTATTATTTAATTAATAGACAATTAAATTAAATAATAGAGTCCGTAGATTCAAATCTTCGTAATTTGTTACTCATAAGGAGTTGTGATTGTGAAATACAAATTACATATGATTAAATCTTAAATCGTCCGTGGTTGTAAGCAATAACGAGATACGGATATCGTTATTACGGATAGACCATCATGTGTGGCATTTCTTACTTGTGAAGTAAGTAGCTGATCTCACAAGTTAAAGTGTGGTGACACTTAAATGAACAGGTGGATGTTTTGTTATAGAACAAAACATTGGAGACACGCTGAAAGATTCTACATAGATAACTATCTGAGTGTCAGTGGTTAACTTCTAACGTTTGGTAGTGGGATTGATCCTTTTGACTTGAGGTCGTCATAGTACCTTATATGAGAACGGTCATGCTTTGATGGTGTTGGATGTTACTCTGCCAAGGGCCGCTAAGACGGTATCGTTCGGGTATGTCAAAAGTCATATGAAGGTTGTGAATGACCAATAGAGAATTCGTCACTCTTAGATAGTAAGAAATTATGATCTGCGTTTCATTCAATTAAGTCGATAACGAAATTTTTGGCCAAGGTGTACTCATAAGTGGAAAAGGAGTTTTCGATTTGTATTGACTTAATAGTGGAGTGAAAGATATGATCGATAATCGAGATTGATACACTTTCATATCTCGTAATTGATCAGATCATATTGACGAAGGGATTATAGTTTCACGGTAAACGAACGAGTTTGGTTTTGTCATACCACGTGAAATTTTCCATCACATGTATTGCCCTGACACATTGCTAAATGTCAATCTGGGACGACGAGTGTGAATTGGTGATAAATTAAAAGGGTATTTTAATTTATCAATTTTGATTAGATCAAAATAATATTTCATGTCGTTAGACATCGTGATCGGGAACTTGATGGGTCGCACACAAAAGGAGAACTCGAAGATTGTAATTTGTCAATTAATTAATTTAACAAGTGTTGGATAAATTAATTAATTGGTTTGGTTATTTATAGGCCCGAATTAATTAATTGGATTAATTAATTGACGGATCAGATTTAATTAAATGTGTTAATTAAATGTTGGACTGGGCCAGGCCAAGCCTGTGTTAATTAGGGTTTGCAAAAATGTATAAAAATTTTCATTATTCTTGCTAGCACAAGAAAATCCATAATACTACAATCTTGTTCTCTGTATGGATCATCGTTGGAGGCTGGACAATTGGACAGCTATGAGTGGCAGATCAAAGCTGCTGGAACAAGGGAAAAGCAAAGAAGTTTACAGGTCTCGAAAGAGGTACAATTTTTATCACAATTTTTATCTAAACACAAAGACGATTATTGGTGGGAATCAAAATTTATTTTAATTTTCCGCTGCGCATGTTAAGTAGATTCCCAACTGTGACATCAGAGCCTCCTTTGTGTTTGTTAGAAATTATTTTGCATGTTGGAACAATTAAAAGTTAATTGTTTTTCTTGTTTTAGAAATTGAGAACACAATTTTTCATATTCAAAATCAGATTTTGAATAGAAAATATTTTGGATTGGAAAATAAATTAATTAATTAAAAAAAAGGCGGTGAAGCTGGCGATAACTTGCCGCCGCTGTCGGCCGGCAAGATTGGCAGAGCGGCAGCACTTGCTGCCGCGGATGAGTAGCGGCGCTCTCGTTTGTAATATCCCTTTTGGGGTCAGTTTGTAAATTCTTTAAGTAAGGGTAGTTTTTGCAATATTTGATATTGAGGAACCCCTTCCTGCAATTCCATTTTGGGGTCTGATTGCAATTATTAAATGAAAGGGCTTCTTTGCAAATTTCTTTATTTTAGAGGTCCTGAGTATAAATTCAAGTTTGGGTTGAAATACAATTTCAAAATTGTTTTGATTTTGAATTTTAAAATGGTTTTAAAATCATATTTTAAATGGGTTTGACAGTTTGACCTATAATTTTAATTTTGACCCAAATTAAAATTTTTATTTAAAGTTGACGACCTTTTATATTTTCTTTAAAATTGGATTTTAACTTAAATATTGGACTTTGACTCCAAATTGAATTTTATTTTATTTAGGAGTTCTATTCTAAATTAAAATGTTAATTCAATTTAAATTAGAGTTAGACTCTAATTTAATACTTAATTAAAATTTGATTTTAATTAATTATTCAGCCGATTATATTTTTGAAGTTAGAATTGGATTCTAATTTGACATTTAATTAAAATTTGATTTTAATTAAATTGTCTTGCCCTAAATTTTTTCCTAAAAATTAGAGTTGGACCCTAATATATTATTTAATTAAATTTTGATTTTAATTAAATAAATTCACGTTAAAATCTTGGAATTAGAGTTGGATTCTAATTTTGTTATTTAATTAAAATTTGATTTTAATTAAATTCAACCGCATTAAATTTTGAAATTAGAGTTGGACTCTAATTTGATATTTAATTAAAATTTAATTTTAATTAAATAGTCTCACCCTAATATTGTGGAATTAGAGTTAGACTCTAATTCGGTATTTAATTAAAATTTGATTTTAATTAAATATACTTGCTAATTAAATTAATTTATTAATATGATTAATTAATTATTTAATTGTTCCGATCCATTTGTCTAAAAGAGTTTAGACGAACTTAATTGCTAAAAACATGTTTGCATATAATATTAGATATTATATAAAAATTCATTTATGTGATAAATGCATTATTAGTGGATGATTTTGGATTCGACCATATGGATGTGTTGAATGATTGATTTTTTAATTGCGTTTTGTGGGTCTGCGAGCTCTTAATCTTTTTGGACCTGCGAGTCCGTTATTATTATTGTTACCATGGACCTGCGAGTCCAATTTCATTTAGACATGCGTGCCAACTAGTATAGGATACATGTTGCAGTTGTACTAATTGAAGAAACAAGAGGAGGAGGAGACCATAGAGATGGTGCATTGATACTGATCAATGCAATGCCACCTAAGAATTGACCAACTAGTCTTCCTTATGGCTCGGGAAGATTAGATAGTAAAAGTCCATAATCATCTACAATATTATTTTATATTATATATATGTTTATTTGCATGGTAGATGTATAATAAAATATATATGATTGTATTATTGTTGATGAAACCTTTGAATGCAAAATCTCTCCATAAAATATTAAGTCACATTTAAAATTGTCTTCCATCATTATAGTGAAAAATCAGAGTCTCAAATCGTCTCAACTTGTTGAGTACACTCAGGGCTGGTCTATTAGGGATATGTTTGACACTATGAAATATTTGATATTTCTGAATGACGGGTATGACTTAACTAAAATTTATCTTTTGTTGAGTACACTCAAAGAGATAAATTTTAGAGGCATGTTAAGCTAACACATAAGATATGTGAAGATAAAGAGTTATCAGCTTGATGATCTGGGAGTTGTATGGAGATACAATTGATAATAGTATATACCCAAATGTTATATTAAGACTTGTTAAGTACACTCAAGGTCATAGGGAGTCAAGTATGGACTCCATAATTTTATGTAAGAGGATCATAAATTTTAGTTAAATAGTGGGAGCATAAAATTTAATAAAAGTCCATGTTAAATTAATTGATGAACTTTATATATTATTCTTTTTCTTTTTGTCATTTACATTTAAATTGAATCTTAAATAACCATATGTTTTAAATGGCATACTGAATGCCAACAACCAAACTAAATTTTCTTGATTGGTACTGCAATTTGAGAATTGTTCTTAGACATGTGAAAATTGATTATGTCCTTGAGTAGTCCTTTCTAGAGACATCTGTTTATGACTCAGTTAAGAAAGAGGTGGCTGCTATAATAAACGCAGTGATGACAATAGTACTGCAACGGATGTGATACTTGCAACTATGTCACCTGAGTTACAGAAGCAACATGAGAGTATAGATGCTAACATGCTAACACGTGATTTTTCATTTCAAAGAGTTGTATGATAATAATTATGTGTGGAAGGATATGAGACTTCCAAACAACTATACCGATGCAAAGTGACAAAAGAATCTTCAGTCAATCCTTATGTACTGAAGATGATTGACATGAGAAGTCTCCATTGAGTTCAATCATTAACTATGAGCTAAGTATTGACTTAGCTCCGCAATCTCTGTCATAGAGTTATTTATACTAATTATGAATTATGATATGAATAAACTCGAATGCATACTCATTAAGTTGTTTAACATGTTTAGGACTGTTAAGCCCTTTATCAAAGTTGGTAGTGGGCAAACCATTTGATTCCTCTAAGAGTGTTAAGAGAAAATCTAAAGGGGCTTTGAGAAAGCATTCAATATGGTTAAGACAGTCTGAGCAAAGGACAATACCAAATCTAATGACATTTGTCTTCGTTATAGAATGAAAGGTCATTGGAAGAAATATTGCATAGTTTACGTCTACTTCACGAGTTTCTTAAGTATTTGATACCAGATATAGATCTCATATTTATACAAATATGGAGAAACTAAATAGAAGTAGTCTACTGCGATGGGAAGAAGTTGACCTACACGTTGAACATGAGTAAAGATTGTCGTATTGCCTGTAGGAGCATACTTCTTGTCGTTGCCTTTTGGCTTAGTAATCGAATTGGAGAAATGTTGCTTTGTACCCACCATAGTTGGAACATTAAGATGAATTTCATGTTCAGACATGAACTATTTTAATGT